TGGCTAATCTTCTGTTCTCCTTATTATAATATCTTAATTGAAACCTGCCCTGTGTCCTCTGGCCTTGTTGCCTGCACATGCCACACCTGTGCTTGAAATCCTCTTGTTTCTTCTCTTCAAAGGTTAATTCCTACTCATCCTTTAGCTATTGCTATGGATGTAACTGTGCCCCCCTCTCCTATGTTGTAGTCCTAACCTCTAGTACTTCAAAATGTGACCTTATTTGGAAATAAAGTTTTCACACAGAGGCAAGTGAGTTAAAATGAGGCCATTAGGATAGGCCCTAAACCAATATGACTCTGACTGTATAAGACGGAGACATTAGGAGACAGACAGAAACGGAGAAGACCATGTGAAGGTAAAAGTAGAGACTTGGGTGATACTTCTATAGCCCAAGGAACATCAGAGATTACCTCTAAAAACCCAGAAGACACTTGTTATGGGCATGAAATAGATTCTCTCAGCTGTCAGGAGGAACCAACACTGCTAATATTTTGATCTCGGAATTCTAGTCTCAAGAATTTGCAACAATAAAGTTCTGCTGTTTGAGACACTTCCTTGGTGGTATTTTGTTGAACAGGGTACACTGGGCAGCTTTTCACTGTGGGGATAAAATACCCGAGACACACAGCTTAAAGGAGGAAGGGTTTGCTCTGGCTTGTAGTTTCAGAGATTTCAGGCCATGGTCTGCTGGCTCCAAGGCAGAAACATCATGGTGGACGGGCAAGGTGGACAGTGGCTGCTAACCTTGTGAAACCAGGAAGCAGAAGAGATAGAGAGGGAGGGATCAGACTCCAGGTATGGTCCCGAGGTCACACCCTGTGACTCACTCAGATATGAGTGGGTCTTAGGTAATGAGCTCATGAGAACAATAACCAAAAAAATCAAACAAAACCAGAAAGCTCGTGTTGGTTCAACTTCTCACGATGAGACAGCATTTTTCAATTAGCCTCCATAAACAAATACCTAACTTGCTATCTTGCTTGACCCCTGGCACTCCAGAGGAATGTAATTTTGTTGTCCTTATGTACTGATTAAAAACCGCAAGCTAGCATGACTTGGTAGGGTTAGAGTTTAACTCTGGAACAGATATAGTGCTGTGATGGGATTGGCTGTTAGAATAGCTCCGTTTAAGGTACTATAGTTATAGAGACCTCGGGAAACTTAAGCATTCTTGTATACAGCCTAGAAATTCTATGTAGATGTTCTTTTTTCTAACTCTCTCTCTCTCTGTGTGTGTGTGTGTGTGTGTGTGTGTTTTAAGCACTCAGGTACGGTTGTGTTGTGAATGTGTCCCCCCCAGAATTCATACTTTGGTTCTTGGGGAGTGATTAGGCTATGAAGACAGAGTGCTCATGAAGGGGAGCATTACCTCTGTAACAGGGACCTCAGCTGGGTAGCTTGTCCCTTGCAGCAGGGGAGGATACACCAAGGTGCTAACTAGGAATCAGGAAGTGAACCACAGACACCAAGGTCGCCAGCTCCTTGACCTTGGATATCTTGCTCTCCAGAACTGTGAGAAGTCGATGCCTCCCACTCTGCGTACTCTGCTGCAGCAGCCCAAATGGACTGAGAGAGGCCAGCTATTCTCCATCTTCCTGCTGATTGCATTATTGAGAACTTAAACACAAAGCGTCCCCACATGCTCACAGTCTGTCTGAAAATTCTATTTTAATGTCTAACCTCTCTAGAGTTTTTTTTTTTCCCTTTAAGTGAGGATCACTGTGGATGTCTTATGAGGTTTTGTGGGGATTTAATGGGATGACTGATTTGAAATTTCAGGAAGTGCCTTGTGTGGGGGCACACGCCTGCAATCCCAGCTTCTTAGGAGGCTGAAGGAGGAGGATGGCAAGGTTGAGGTGAGACAGAGAAAGAGAGGAAGGAGGAGAAGGAGATGGAGAAGAAGAGGAGAAGGAGGAGGAAGAAGGGGAGAAGGAGGAGGAGGAGGAAGGGGGAGAGAGGGAGAAGGAAAGAAGGAAGGAAGGAAGGAAGGAAGGAAGGAAGGAAGGAAGGAAGGAAGCTGAGTCTGTCCCCTTCTCAGGAAGTATATTTCTGATAAAACTGGGTGAGCATAGCGGTTAGCTACCTTATTTCCCATGCTTAAGCCCCCAGATGTTGCAGGCCCCCTCTGTCTGAGACTACAAGCATGAGCCACTCTCCTTTAAATATCAGAACTAAAAGGCAAAGCCTCTTTGGCCGTACTTCCTTCGAGGGATTGAGTCTCGGTCCTAGAGCTCTTGCTGGTCTGAAAGTCAGACCAGGCTCTGCCTCCCAAGGCGGGCAGACTAACCGCTGTCGCCAGGTATGGTCGTCTTTCCTGTCCAACTTCCAGCCCCCTGAGGTCCTGGCCTGTTGTTGGTGTCACTGGGTGACACCTCGTGCTGTTGGTCCCCACTTTAGGACTGAATCCTGCTCACTTTCTACACAGCACCCAGAGGTGCCACAAGGCTGCTTTCAGAGCTTCCCGAACCTGGGGGTGCACCGCAGAGCCCGGGAGCGGGTCTGTCTTCTGATCTGTTCACGCGGTGCTGGGGTCGCACAGCATCTCTGCCCAGGGACAGCCTCGTGGGGAAGCTCCTCACAGGACAGCGTCGCGGGTCCTCTCCACAGCACCTGCTGTAACCTCTGCTCTGCTCACCCAGGCCCCCTTGACGCAGGCTTCCTAAATAGAAGTTCCGGTGAATATTAAGGTTACAAACAAAGATGGAGAGCGGGTGGGGGAGGGAGGAACTGTCTGCCCTTACTCCATTCTCACCTGATGCCCTCAAAAGTGCCCGTCACAGGAGGCTCAGACTCTTCACTACACTGTAGGGTGCCTAAGAGGAGAGGCGTTTACCGGCCAGCAGAAATCAGGGGATGAAGATTTCATACACGAATTCAACCCCGTGAGGAAGGCCTAATGCCCACAGGAAGCTAATGGAAGGAATGAAATGTCCTGAATGCACACTTTTAGGTCAGAGGTGGCAGAGTGTTTCCGTAACGGGCCAAACTATAAACACCTTTGCCTCTGTAGGCAAAGATGTCCCAACCAGAACAATTTATCTCTGAGGTCAGAGAGCAAGAGTGCCTATGTGAACAAAGAACGTGGCTGTGCTCCAGTAAATTTTATCTACAAAAACAAGCGGTGGGCGGGGTCTGGCTTCCGCAGTGCAGCTCACCAGGCACTGTTGCAGGAGCAGGAAGCCACTGTGGGCATCTAGCGTAAGCCACCCCCCTCACTGGCCCACACCAGACTCAAGACCTCCCTGAACAAGCAAGGTTCAAGGCTGCCTGTGTTCAAAAGAGGTCAGACAGATCATTTTTTCTCTAAGGTTTCCTACTTTAAAAAACATTTTATGGGCCAAATGACACATACCCTATAGCCCAGAATTACCTAAAAAGCCTCATTTTGAACCTCTGATTTAAAAACCATGTAATAGGCTTTGCTAGGTACATGCTTTTACTAGTGAATTCTTAAAAGAAAAACTTATTTAGGAGATATTATTAGACCCATCTTATGGAGGAGGAAATTGAGTCTCTCCAAGGTCACACAGCTGACAATTTGTGGAGCTAGGCTTCAGGCCATCCTGGTGGTTGTTCTGCCTGAGTGTTATTTTCAGTACCCACAGGTTGCCGTGTTACATTTCCTTAGGAAAGACAAGGGCAATCTTAAGCTTTGGGAACTATCAGAACTTACGCACGTGTCTCCTGTCTCTGATGCTTCCTAGCCTGTGTGGCCACAACTGCGAGATAATGTGTTTCCGTTGCTCAGGCCACGCAATCTCTCGTACTCTCTGACAGCAGCTAACACATCCATCGGCGAGTGACTAGATAAAGTGTGGAGTTCAACATGGACTGGAAAAGAACAGCTACTGATCCATAAAGCAGTGAGTTAAGTGAGTTAACTGACTTAAGTGAGTTTCAAAACAGTGATACTGCAGAAGAGAAGCCAGACAGGACGGAGCATACACGGTGTGAGAACATCTGGAAGAACCGCTTGCATCTCGAAGGATGGCAGCCCACCAGTGCTTTCCTGAGTCAGGGCAGTGATGAGTCTGTGCACACAGGGCCAGAAATGAGGGTCTCCAGGGGCATGTGGAAATTCTGGGAGTGAAGGATATGTGTACTGTCTTGATTATGGCGATCGCTACGTGGTTGTGGTTGTGTACCAAACTTGACTTGTAATCTTTATATATGGGCAGTTCATTATATCTCAACTAAGCTGTTTTTATTTTATTTTTTGAGACAGGGTTTCATTTATAGTGTAGGCTGGCCTTGAACTCACTATGTAGCCCAGGGGGGCCTCGAACTTACAGTGATCCTCCTGTATCAGTCTCCTGAGTGCTGGGATTACAGGTGTGCACTTTTTAAAGCTCTACATATGCTAAATGTGGCTCTCTGAACCCAGATTCTTGAATTTTTGTATAAGAAATCTAGCATATTAAGAGCGTCTTTAGTTTTTTCCTGGAATGTTGCATACTTTCCCTTAACAAACTGAATTTCTTCCAAAGAGTTTCTATCACAGATTGAAGACTGGATGCAGCCATGAGGTTGCCACACGAAATGACCCAGTTCAGACAGGAATGTACCCAGTCCACAGATATTTCCTGTAAAGCTGGCAAATGTGGTATAACGTTCCACTCTCTGAACATGAAACTGTTCTAATGTCTCCCAAAACAATGACTTCAAACTGTGTTCTACTGTAGAGACCATTCTAATTTCAACATTAGTAGAAAACCTGCAACAATTCATAAGTACTGTTTATCTTAAGAAATGATAGGCCTTTTGTAAGTAAGGAAATATTTATAAAAATAGAATAACAGTAATTTAACTCTAATATAGTTTTGCACTGTCGAATCTTATGACTAATAACAATTATAGTAAATATTAGGATTATGATTTGTATTGTTCCCAGTTTTCCTGTTCCAGAGTTTCATATATATTTCCTTTTATAAAAATTCAGAAGGAGAAGAATCAAATGGAACACAGCAAGAAGAATTCTTCAGAAGGCTGGAACTTACCAGAGGGCCAATTCAAACTCTGGGAGCGAAGAGTAGCTGGCCAGGTAGGTTCCGCAGTAACTGAATGAAAGTAAAGTATAGTCCAGAAGAATATTGCCTGAAACACAAAACCCATTGCAAGGGCTTGATCACCACGGTCTGCTTATTTATGCTCTCACAGTTTGTTTCTGTTTTGTAGTGATTTTCACATAGTTCCAAAGTATTTATTGGAGTAAAAGATCTCGTGGGTGACTTCTAAGACTATGAGCACAAAACTATGTTAAAAGCAAAGCTAAGATCCACTTTACAAGATACTGGAGTGCACTACTATTTGTCTATTTATTTTCCTGGGAAACTATCTTGTAGATAACAATATGTAAAACAACCACCATTGATAATTTCCTACCACTTTGTCTGTAATTCGGTAAGCCCCCCTATTACTATGTTATCCTTCTTTTACTCTTTAAAATTAAAAAAAAAAAAAGATACTGGAGTGAATTAATACCACTGGGTCACTGTCTCTAGACTTCAGTGCAGAACTGAGCATACTGTACCCTAAATTTCCCAACATGATGTGAAATGACCCCAAAGTCATAAAGTATTTCATAGCTCATCAGTATATGAGTATAATTAGAACACTTTTTCAAACTTTATCTTGGGGAATTGCAGCTGTTCTAGCTTATTTTCTTATTCTATTATTAAGCCACATTTGACTTCCAGATTAATAGGGTGCAACTCTTAGAACAACTGTCAAAAGTTCTATTATCATTTGTACTCCAAGTTGAGGAAATGCAACTTGCCTTTAAAAGCAAGCCTAGCAACAAGACCTTTAAGATGTGCATGCATCGTGTTGGGGATGTAGCTCAGTGGTAAAGCGCTTGCCTAGTCTGCCTGTGACCCTGGTTCGATTCCTAGCAAAGAAAAAAGGGGACACAAAGAAAGTATCCTGAGGTTTCTGAAACAGGGCAGTGTCTGCCCCTGCTCCTCAGGGTTTGGGGTCTGTTTCCTCTCCCCGTTATCAGCTCTTCCGGGGGTGCTTTCTGCAGGTATGCACTTTGCCTGCACCTAGCTCTGCCTTTCTATTCACGTCTCTCTGGCTTTTCTGTCACTCTTAATGGCCCTTTCCTGTTTTTACCTGATCATAGCACAATCTTAAACGTGATCTTCTTAGCATAGTCTAGTTAACGAAACAACGTGCATCTAAAATCATTTTCCTGTAGGACGAGGCCTTACTAGAAGGGTTTTCTATCCTTGCTACCCAGTTACTTCCTCCATATGTGGATGTTATTAATTTTATGTATTTTTAAATTAAAAGTGGTTTTTTTGAAGAAAATATTTTAAAAGCCTAGGAAAAATATATATCCGTTGTGGTTCTACTACCAAATTGGGCATATTTCTTCCCGGCATTTTCTTCTGTGTGCTTATTTGGAAAAATGTACTTACAAATATATTTTCTTTAAAAGTAGCCTGGCTTTTTATAGCTACAATCATTGTACACTAAATATTATATATAACTCTCCATTTTAAAATTGGAAGTTTGATCATACATAGTATTGCATCCTGTTGGGTTTTTATTCATACTATAGTAAGCATTTTGTCACTTTTCTTAATATTTCTTTTAAAACTTGATTATTCATGATAGCACATGCCTGTAATCCCAGCATGTGCGGAGGCAAAGTCAGGAGAATCACCACGAGTTCAAGGCCAGCCTGAACTACATAGCAAGAGCCTGTCTCAAAAAAAAGGTAATTTTTGTTTTGGCAATTTTTTAATTTTTAAAATAAAAAAAATCTAAAAAAAGGTAATTTTTATGTTTGTAATAATACCCCTATCTGGGATGCTTTAACCAGATGCATTTATTTAACCAGATGAATGCCACTGGGGATATAGGCTGCTTTCAATCTTTTGTTATTATGACAGTGCTTTTAACTTTGTGCACAAGTCTTTTACCATATTTCTGGTTACTAAATTAAAATTGAATTTTACTTGTGGTAGACATAAATACAAATGTCTCAGGGAGACTGTCTCAATTTAGACTACTACTTTTGGCAAACAAGAATACTACTAACTTCCCTGCACTGGAAATTGACAAGTCAAGATCATTAAAAAATTGTGACGTTGATAAGCAGGAAAACAACACTAAACAGGTCAATAACAATTTTTAATGAGTATTGAGATGGGACCTCTTTCGGGTTGTTTTGTTTTGTTTTGTTTTGTTTTTTGAGACAGGGTCTCACTATGTAGTTCAGGCTAGCTTTGAGCTCACAGTGATCCTCCTGTCTCAGCCTCCAGAGTGCTGGCATTACGGTCATGTACCACCATGCCCAGCTGAGATGGGACTTCTTTTGATGTTTTTGGTCATTAATAATTTTGTGATTTGTCTGAGCAAGTTCTTTTACCTTCTTCCTCATGAGACATTTGTCCTTTTTTCTTATTGTTTCATAAATACTCTGAAAATACCTGATTATATTTGTTCCAAAGAGTTCCCTCAGTTTGATATTTGCCTTTTAACTTTTCATGGTATTTTTATGTTCTTAAGTTTTAAAATTGTATATAAATATGTCAATCTTTTAATTTTTAATTTTTGTGTATGGAATGTTCTTCCCTATCATTTCAATATTCTGTCTTACTTTCTTCGGCTTTTGGAGTGTGTTTGTTTATATTTAATGCTTAATTCCCTGTGATATATAGTTTGATATATGGTGTAATGTGAGTTTCTAACTAGATACTTTTGTTCAGATATTGGGTTCTCTTAACATCATTGTTGAATAATCCATACCCTTGGGCGGGGGGAATTTCTCTCACCACAACATGTGGTGTCCGAAAGAGCCCCTGCCTTGCCACTGTCCTCTTTCAAGTTTTACTCTTTTTCCCAGATGAATTTGCAATCATTTAAGTACTCCTTGCTCTCTAAATCCTGACAAACCTATCACAAATATTAGAAATGTTAGAATAGTACTCTTATTTATAATAACCAGGCTTCTCATTCAGGAAGGTGTCATTGTGGAGCTAAATAGTTTAAATAAGTGATTTTGTTATTTTCTTCATCCAGATTGCTCATATGTCTTGGATTATTTCTAAGTATTTGAATTTTCTGCTTGCATGGGTATTAATTTTGCAACTAGCATCTTAGTGAGCATTCTTTTGTTAGTCCTAGTAGACTACTGCCTTACCCATAATCTCCTTTCCGATTTTTAAATTTTTTTGATTTGGATGCATTGATTAGAACTTTGAGGCTGATATTAAATAACTGTGGTAGAAATAGGCATCTTTGACATTTTATTACCAATTTACTGTAAATTCTTCTAGGGTTTCAGTATTCAATATGGAGGTTGGCTAATGGTTTGAATTAGTCCTCATGGACGAGAGCCAAATAACTAAGTGTGGGAGGTTTTAACAGTCAAGGGTACTTACAGCCCACATAGTTCCCAGCATACAAACGGGTTATGCTTTATAAATTGCCTTAATCTGTTGAGAACAAAGACAAATTTCCCCACAAATACAATGCTACAAATTGCCAGTATTCCCTGATTTCACCCCGAATCCTCAAGGCTCCAGAACTCAGACCAGCCTCTAGCATGAGCTTTCCATCCCTGGAGCGCGAGACAGAGACCCTAAAGATGCGCGGCAGCCCACTTGGTGCCGGCCACACCCGTGGACTCATCCATGGTAACTCAGATGGGGGCCCCAAGTACCCAGCACGAGTGTGTGCATATCCATGTCATCACGACGACCTCACATTAGATCTACCTTTATCCCCATTTCATGGGTGAGAAAACTGAGGCTCAGAGGCTTTGTCTTCATAAGTTATTCAAACGCCAATTCACCTGGATTTTCAATAAATCATTAGGAAAGAAAATATTGCTCTGAAAAAGGTCAGTCTTCTAGCCCCATGCTGCTCGAAGTTTAATGTGCACAATCACCCTGAAAATCCTGTTAAAATGCAGAATCTGACTCAGGCGGTCTGGGGTGGGAGGCCGGCTGCATTTTTAAGCAGCCCCCCGCCCCCAGTAGCACCAGTGTTGATGGTAAGCAGACCACGGCAGTAGTAAGGCTCTAACTTACTTGCTCTTTAGTGATCTGCTTCATTCTATTTAAAACAAAAGCCTTCAAAACACAAGCCACCTTTACTTATAAGAACTAGATTTGGTCAAATCTTACAGTGAAATCATTCATTATGGGGCAGAGGAAGTGCCCCCCAGAATACCTTTTAACTTGGTCCTTCTGGTCAATGCAGGGAAGTTGTATATGTGGATGAGGGGTTTTAGCCTCCGGTCCGAAAAAGCCACAACTTCATAAGGAACGTTAGTTGCCACGACGCCCACAATTCCATTAATACACTGGAGTACCGTCTTTTGCTTGGTTTCAATGTTAATAAATATTACATAATTTCCAGAAGGGTAGCAAATGGTGTTGTCGTTGACAAAGTGAACATTCTGCTTAGGGAATCCTTGCACCCATCTTTGGGGAAAGATATGTCACATCAATATAACACGTTCCAGATAATTTTTCCTTCTTTAACAAAGCAAACAAAAAGTCATCAAAGCACATCTCTTCTATTTCACTCCCTTTCTGCCCCAAACAATCCCTCAGATAAAAAGAACACATCTGCTGGCTATGCTACCAGTTTGAGTCAATGAACTACAGAAACATAAAAGTTGACCCAAAGCTGCAGCGTCCAAAGGGCCTCTACATAGAAACTTTTCAGTAAACAAAACTCTGACCAAACCTAAGGCTGTCTCACAAGGATTTCCACGCTTCTGCATGCTTGGAAGAGAGAAGGTGAAAACAATCCCAGAGTGAAATGAGCTTCATTCTAGTGGAAAACAGGCTTCACCCTGGGCCTTTCTTTTATAATTAGCTTTCATTTTAAAAATAAACTTTAAAAAACAACTTTGTGTAGGTAAACACACTTTGTAATTGTACAACAAATAGGAAAATTCTTTGTTGTAATTGTACAACAAATTGTAAAATTCTTTACACAGATGTATGTTGCCATATTTTAGACCTAAAAATATGGATAAGGGGCTGGGGATTTAGCTCAGCGGCACAGCGCCTGCCTGGCAAGTGCAAGGTCGTGAGTTCGATTCTCGGTACCGGAAAACAAACAAACAAACAAACAAAAAATATGGATAAATGTAGACAAAAAAAGAAAGGAAGAAAATGTGGTCAATATAAAAAAAGGTTAGAAGGGGCTGGGGATTTAGCTCAGCGGCACAGCGCCTGCCTGGCAAGCGCAAGGTCGTGAGTTCAATTCCTGGTACCGTAAGAAAAACAAACAAACAAAAATAAATAAAAAATAAAAAATAAATAAAAAAAGGTTAGCACATGCAAGGCACATCCTGTTAAGTGAGGAGTGTGTGGTATACGCTAGCAGGGAGGACAGTCTGAGTAGAGAGACTGCATTCTACTTAAATGGTAAGGTGCGACGTTGAGGAGTGACTCGGGAGGCTGGAGGAGTATGCTGCCCGGGGCAGAGGGCGGAAGCCCGGGAGGGTGGAGAAGGAAGGAGATACCACCTCTATCTGCAGCGCTTTACTCTTTTCAAAGCCCACTCACTGCAGGTGCAAAAGGGAGTTAGAGGACAGGGACGACCGTCCTAACCAGCGGGGGGAAGTCCAAACAAAACAGATGGTAAAAGGGCTGCCCCGTAGGGGGTGGGGCTACGTAGGAGAGGTCAGGGAACCGGGTCACCGAGGGAACACGGAGCCAGCGCGAGCAGGCCGAAGTGATGGTTGCGGAAAAGGAATGTTGGGGGTGCGAGGAAGAGTCGGGGTCGCGGGAGAATGAGGGAAAGACAGAGAACAGCCACCGATCGCAGGATCGAGGGAGTCTGCAGTAAGGTTCGGGCGCCGAGAAGAGAGCTGGCCCACGGATCGGAGGAAGCAGAGGCTAAGGAAGCTTGTGGGTCCCAGGCTGCCCAAGACCGAAGTCAGGACCCGGGCGTGGACGCCGCACCTCACAGACAGGCTCGCGCCGGCGGCGTGGGCGTAGTAGGACGCGTCCTCTCGCTCCCGGCCTAGCGCCATGGGCTGCCTTTCCCTCCGCGGACACCGGCCTGGTACCCCGGCGGCCCAACGCCTGGCCCGGGCCTGTTACTCTGCGGCCTTCTTTGTTTACACTCGTATCCAGGATACCGTAACCCCCGCGCCCATTGGATCCGCCCTTTGGCCAGCTCTGGCTCGAGTCTAGTGGATTTGTGGAACTGCCGGGCATGTCGGCCAATGGGAGAGCGTTAAAGGAAGCAGTGGGCGGGCCCTTCCGTGAGGTCCCGTCCCGGGTACGTCATTACGTGTCAATCAAAGTCGAGAAGCTAAGCCTCTGCAGTACTGACCGAGCCCAACACTGTCCCAGCGCTTTGCAAGCAGTATTTCATCTTCACGTGCCCCGTTTGCCCCGTCGTGTCGATGAAGAAAGTGACGAGGGAAGCAGCTTGTCCAAGGCTATAAAGCGGAATGGGATTTAAGTTCAGGTCTAGTTAAAATCCAGAGCCCGAGGCCCTTTCCTGCTGTATGACGCTTCCAGGTGTGCGCTCTGGCCCCGCAGGGGGCAGCCGGCCTCAGGACTCACCCCATGGAGTGGTCAGCAGCTTGTCACCGACCGTCCTCCACCCTTCCCCTCTGTTCCCCTCCAGCCCTCTGCTCTTCTTTGCCTTCCCCCCTTCAGTTCTTCTTCCTGTCCCGCCACCGTCAACCTAAATCCAGAACAACGAAAGAGAGGTTTTCCAAAGAAAATGATATTTAGGAATAGCAGAGCACTACAACGGGACTACACTTGCTGTGATAAATAGTGGGCAAGTTGGAAGAAGGTGAGAAAACGGAATTTTGAAAAGTAGGAGGGTTATATCTGATATTTTGAAACATTACTCCTCGGCCACTGTGCTCAACAACGAGAGGGCATCCATGTGAGGTTGAACAGACAGTTGCTGGGCAGCTGTCCTTGTAGAAGTACTTTTTGTTTAAAGTCACAGTGGCGTCTATGTAAGGCCGTAGTCTGGCAGAGATTTTTGTGATAGTTTTTACCAGGCCCTTGAATTCAGAAGAACTCTTCCTATTTGTTCACTCATTTATTTATTTTATTTATTTATCTGGTTAGGGTCAATCCATGTGACTCCATTTTGATTCTGACGACTTTCACATTTTTTTAAACAAACTTCATTTCTCTCTCAAGTATTTATTGAGAGCTTGGCATGCATTCATATATCATGCTCACGGTCATTTGGAACGAAATAGTGAACAAGACAGATAAAATTCCTCCCTTTCTGGGGGGACTCAGCAGGAGGACTAGACATTCACGTCACACAAATGTAGAGTTATAGATTAAAACAGGAGTAAAAGGAACGTGATATTATGGATGCTTAAACTGGCAGCCTCGCCTGAAGACCAGGTGTCATTTGGGGGATGGTGATCAGATATAGAAGGGAGTCATTTCTTGTTAAGTGGACAACAGGACTCTTTGCAAAAACTGAATTATACAAGAAAGTACACAGATAGGCTTAGGAGAAGATTCAGAGAAGATTTAGAGACTGGCTAAAATTCGGCCAAGCAGAGAATCTTTGTTACTAGGTGAGGCTGCCAGTTTAAGCATCCATAATATCATGTTCCTTGGGTATAAATTCCCACTTGTCTGTGCTGTACTGGAGTCCAGTCCAACCTCCTTCGCCAGCTGTCTTTCCATTCCAGGGTTCCTATACCTGCCACAGTGGTCAGGAGCAAAGTCTGCCTTACCATACTCTAACAAATACCACTAACTTCTTCAACACAACTTAAATGAGTTAAGGATGAATTAAGGATGGCTTCTGTGTGCCTATGCAATTCCCTGAAGGTCCAAGGGTGAGGAGTTGGACAGAGGGGCTGGAGAGGCAAAGGACAGCTGTGTGTACCAAGGAAGGTAGGACCTCAGCTTGGGTGAACTGGGAAAGACAGTCCATTAAAGCAAAGAGATGAGAAGAAATACTGCCGCTGAGGCTGGAAAGCTAAAGGTCATGTTGTAGCAGAAAAACCACTATCAAGCCCAGTGGAAGACTTTGCACCGAGGAGTTAGAAGGCAACTTTTATTACACCAGCAGGCTGGGAAACCCAGAGGTTCAAATCACCAGCCCAGAGTCAGGTCTGGGTTCAGTTTAAATAGGGTTTGTGGGTGGGAAGTGCAAAGCTGGTAGCAATTTATTACATGATTGGTTCCATGGAATACAAGAATCAGTCATATGCTGTCAGGCAGACTTACTTAAAAGGAATTGTTTGATGTTCTGGGAAGGAGGGGAGAGGGTGTGAGTGGAGAAAATAGAGTTCAATGGGTCCTTGACTGGGCCGGTCTGTCCCAGACAGGAAGTCCCTGAAGCAAGTTGAAAACAAAATATAGTTTTCTAACTAAGAAAAACACAAGCTGGACCCTGTCAGGTTGGCCCAGCACATGATCAAAGAGAAGTAGACAGCCAAGGCTGATTGTGTGACAGGCAGCGTGAGCACAGTCACAGGCTATGAACTGATTTCTAACTTTGGCTATAACATGCCTACAAGTCTGCTATTCTGTAAGTGTGCCCTTACAACGTGAGGGACAAGTTGAGAATTCTGATCTTATTGTAAGAGCCATGAGCAATACATTAAATCATTTCAACCAAGGGAGTGATATGATCAGATCTATATTTATAAAAGGTCATTCTGGCTGCAGCAGAATATCAGTTGGGTGGGAAAACAAAGTTACTAGAGAGATCTGTCAGTCTATTCCACGGTCCCAAGTGGAGATAAAGCAGGATTTCTCAGGCTCAGCATTTGCAGTATCTTGGGCTGGATTGGAAGGAGGAATTCCTGTTTTACAGGATGTTTAGCAGCATCAGACAGCTGCATTTCCATAGCTGTGACCATTCAAAATGTCAGTGGACATTGTTAAATGCCCTTCCAGGGTGGGAGTACATGCAAGATCTCCGCTAGCTGAAGCTCACTAAGTGAATGCACTGAAGAGTTCTTTCAGAAGGCTAAAATCTATAGGATGAGGTGATGGGTTGATAAGGATGGAAAGGGGGAAGAATGAATTAAGATTCTCCTAGGTGTCTGATGAACACAGTCGAATGATTGTGTCCTAATTTATGAATAGAGACCTGTAATTCTACCCTAAAGCGTTTCTGTGCTGAGATATGAAGGGCAAACACACACAGTGCTCAGTGTTTTGCAACTGCACAAAACTATCTGGCAAAACCTGGTTTTGAGTCTCAGGGAGAAGTGGCCCTAAGACTTCTCATATACCGTTAACCACGGCCTGAGCATTTTCAAGCTAACACCAGAGAGGAATGTGAAGAGGTCAGTCCTGCCCCGGTCCCACAGTAAGTGGTTGGCAGAGGATGTAAGGTAGGCAGGAAACCTGGACCCTGGGAGAATGAAATCGACCAAGGCTAGATCAGCCATGACCCTGGGAGACTGAACCTTCCCAGCACAAGAGCAAAAGAGAAACTGAACAGAATGGAACAGAAAAAGGAGTCTTGTGTGGATCCCACTCCGTAACACTTTGGCTTTGGGGTCTAGATGGAAAGAGAGGCCTCTGGCTGGGTTTCTTGGGATGCCTGTGGCCGATAAGCACACGGAGATTGAAGGGAGAAGCCAGTGGACATTTTCTCATGAGCTGTGGCCCTTCCTCACATTCTTCTGTGCCCCATAATTAGGAAGCCTATAAAATCCTCTTACTGTACAAAACGTTCTGGACCATGGGGTGTTCAGCTTCTTGAACTGGAAACCTTGCACAACACGAGACAGACCCATGACCACAGACTCACAGCCCTGATCCCGAAGACAGCAGGCCTTTAGCTTCCTCATTCCCTCTACACCCTAGAAACTCTTGCTCTGTAAGAGAGCTGCTTTCGCCACTTTGGAGCCAATGGCCGCTCGCAGGTCTTTATCTTAAATAAAGCCTGTCCTGCCGAAAGGTTTTCTTTCTCTCTCCTTTTGTTTCTTACACTGTGCACTGTGCCAGGTTACAGAAGGATGCCTGCCCTTTCTTAGTCTGGGAGGGGAAATATAGATCTTTCAAGGAATAGACTGAGGTCGACAAATCAGGAAAATCTGTCCCAATCCTCACTCCAGAAGATTTATGAACACTGGGGACAAAATCTAAGACTCACATGTTCTACTTCTTTAGAGCGACCTTGGCAGTAGTCTTGGGCCGGAGAGGGAAGGGCCGAGGACCTGGTATAGTATCTAAGATTATGCCCCTGTGACCAGATGTGCCCAGTACTGAGCTCTACTAATCCAGCATCTCTCAAGCCCCGCAAGTTCAAACAAGCTTAACTGGCACAGCGTTAATGATGAGGACTGAGAAAATTTAAGTCAGGGGACATTATCAGGGGAGATTCCCAAATTCCAGCTAAGGCCATAACAGAGTTTACTTGTTGGGACTACACCAGTTCTCCCTGATCAAATTAGTAGCAGTTCTACTACTAACTTCAAGGCAAGAATATAAACAGAGACCTATAAACCATTTGTCCAACTGTTTTAAATTAAGACTTAAACTGTAAAAGTCAAACATAAATTATAAGAATAAAAACTGGAGAATCCAGCCAGGGATGGTGGTGTACACCTGTAATCCCAGCACTCAGAGGCTGAAGAAGGATTGCCCTAGTTTGATGCCAGCCTGGGCTACATAGTGAGTCCAAGTCCAGTCTGATCTACATAATGAGAACCTGTCACAAGACAAACAAACAAAAAATTAGAAAATCCAAATCTAAATTGTTTAAAGTCTAAATATCTATTTTACTTAGATCTTATTAAATATTTTATATAAGCAAAATACTTATAATTCAAAGGTTTGAAATCCGTCTAGCTGTCAAAAGAAAGAACTGGTATCAGGAGTCATACCTGATACAGCTAGACCTATATACATTTATAAATGTGGGAATAATTAAGTGTGTTCAATATTGCAAACCACTCCTCAGCCTCTGTGTACAACTGTGGTCAATGCCATACTAATTGATGAGGACCTTGGGAACCAAAAGCTGGAATCACAGAGAGGCAAGAAAATAGTCACTTGATTTTTTTGCGGGGTGGGGGGAATGATAATTATGCAAGAAGCAATATGAATAATCCATGCACATAAAATAATTAATTCTGTACAAACCAAGCTTGTGAGCTCACCAGATCAGTGAATGAAGTTGTGAACCTAATGGAGGAAGTTAGGAGAATTTTTATTGGAAAGCAGAAGGAAAAAAAACTTCTGGTTTCTCCAGGAGGGGAATCTGAAGAGTGGAATTTGCACACAGCCCCTCGGTGCAGAACTGTTTATGGATAAATGGGGCATGAGCGTTGCTCAATCGTTTAGTGACCACCTATCACACGGGGCTCTCTGAATTTAAGATGACCAAATGGAACCCAGGCTCTCTAACTCAGTTCTTCAGTATGTATGGTTTAAAAAAAAACTAGAAGTTGAGAGAGAACTGGTTATTTTGCATTTTAAGTTCCTGGAACCTCAGGTGAGGAGTGTCTCTAAACCTCTGTGGGAGAACTGTCCGAGGATATTGCTGCTTTCCTCTTGAAATGGGATTTTCCCACTTAAAGGCAACAGAAATTGGGAGTGTGGATGTAGGGGGATGAGAAAAGCACATCTCTTAAATCTAAGCTTGAGAATCAATTAGTGGCCCCTGGAATTTGGGGGAGAAGCGTATATGGATCAGCCACTAGAGGGTGGGTTGGAATGACAGCCTTGTTAATGAGGGGGAGGTCTTGTACCATCCAATATTCTCCCGAGGGCTTTCCTACCTGGAGAATGGGAGGACAGCAAGGGCACTGGCAAGGCTTCAGGAGACCATATTTGAGAAACTTGTCTGAGGGGCTGGAGGCCTTTGTGTGCCTCTTTCTTGACTGGATACTGATTTTGGTTAGGAAATTGGCTGGGGTCTTTAATCTTATAAGTACTGGCATAGCAGAATTTCCCCACCAGGTATTCCATTATACCATGTAGCAGGCTCCACTTGTTGGCTAATTTGATCAGGGAGAACTGGTGTAGTTCCAACAAGTAAAATCCATTTTGGCCTTAGCTGGAATTTGAGAATTGCCCCCAATTTTACTAGTAAATCTCTCCCTAGCTAGGGAGCAGGACACTGTGGGACAATTAAATTCGTGGTTAAATATTTGGCCTTCAAAGTGACATGTGAGAGCAGCAGTAGAGAATCTCTGCCTTGAGGTCCCCTCAACTGCAACTATGGCTGTAGACCAGGAGGAAAGTTTTCCAGAAGTGGAAGTCAAGACAGAATGAGTGGCCTTGTATCAATAAGCAGTCCAATTGGCTCACCCAGGATGTCTAAGTTAACCCAGAGTTCCTCAGAGGATTGGTAATGTCTGTTGATGGGCATTGCAGGTTCCCCTGGACCTCCTTAGTCATCAGAGCAGGAAATGAGGGTCTCACTGGCCTAGACCCCTCAGGAGTGGGGACAGTCAAGCCTCCAGGGCCACAAATCTGGCACAATAGCTTTCTAACATACAGAGCTGGGCCCAGGCGGAGGCTTGGTACAATCTCCTGTGCAGGGTCCAGTTCTCTTATACTGGAAACAGGAACCCTTTCCTTGGCTGTCTCTGGGTTTTTCTTAGATGACCTGGGTGAGTTTAAAGCATTACAATCACAAGAGCAGTATCCTAGCTTTTCACTTGTCTCTCTCCTCTGGATCCTGATAGTTGAACACAGAAAAGGTCGTGTCCAGCAATGGGGCCATCAGTGTCTGTGGCTCCATATGAAGGTTTTGTAGCTTGCACAGAATATCTGGGCTGACTGATAGACAAACTGATGTCCCATTGGTGCCTCCGCCTCTCTGGAGGAGGGGTGTACATTAGTATAGTTGTGGAAGACCTCTGCGAATCACTTATGAAACAAAGCTGGATTTTCCTCTGCACCCTGTAAGACGCCACTCACTTTATCATAATTAACAGACTTTTTAATGCATCTTTATATCCCCATAATAAGAGCAGCTGGCATATTGGACATCATTTCTAGCCTGTGCTGAGTATTATAGCCCCAGTTTGGCTCTGTTGAAGGGAAAATAGCCTCTCCAGCGTGGTTTCCTTCCCTTTCAAGGCATGTTGCTCATCTGCATAGTTGATAGCCTCTTAGAGGATTCTTTCTGGACTACATAGTGTGACTCTCAAAAAAAAAAAAAATACTGTTTTAGGAGTGTGTATGTATGGGGGTTCTGTTTTCGATCACTGAATGAAATGTGTTTTTTCCAAAATCACATCTATGTCACGACTGCCACCAGTCTGCAGTAATTTTAAGATACATTCCGATTTTCAGAGACATTAAAATATGAAGAAGTATGAATCTTAGAATGGGTGAGGTATCGTAGCAGTCAGCTAAGAGTTGATTCTAGGGTAAGACTAGAGTTGGAAAACCAACTCCATGATTTAAAAGTATGTCAGTCACTAGAAAATGAGTTGACCTCAGACCCTTAATTTTCTTATCCATGATATGCTAACATTGGCAACACTTACTTTTTAGGATTATTGTGAGTGTTAACGGTTTTTCAGGCAGAAGATTTAGCAGACACTTGGCAGGAAGTGTACACTTAACAGATGGGATTGTCTCCTACTGTTTTGCAACATTTTCATTTAATAATTGTCTTGGTTACTTTTCTCATTGCTGAGGCAAGATATTCAAAAGCCGATGTTAGAGGAGGGAAGGTTTATTTGGCCTCACAGTTGGTAGGGGTTTCAGTCCATAGTTAGCAGGGCGGCATGGCAGAGAGGCATCACAGAGGAGAAACAGTTCATGGCAAAGCAGGGCAGGCAGGAGACTGCCAGCAGTGAAGCAGCAAGCAGCAAGTGACAGCAGTAGCCTTCTTTCTGTCCCTTATATTCTATCCAGGCTACATGCCCTTAGGGTGGGTGGTACTCACACCCAGGGTGGACCTTCCCATTATCCACACCCAGAACTATGCCAAACCAATCAGTGGGCTAATTTAGTAATCACACACTCTTCACCCCAGCATCACACCCTTAATCCCAGCATGACATGCTGTAGATCCAGCCACCTCTGAAAAGCCCCACCTATGACCCCATGAGGCTTTGGGAGAACATCTAGCCATAAACCACAACAACAATGTACCTCGGATCTTGAACATGTTTCCTATCAGTATATGTAGATCTATGTCATCCCATTTAATGGTTGCCTTTTAATAGTGGGACTTTTTCTTCTCCTGTTCTTTAAAAAACTCAGTTTCTTAAATTTTATGTTTATCAATATAGCACATGGTAAAAAATTAAGTTGTATAGAAAGGTTTCCAAAGGACGATAGCCTCCACCTTGTTTCCATGGCATCCTTTCAGTGCTATGTTCTGAAGTCATCTTCCAGCTGACGAGGTAATCAATGCCTTTGAGGCCTCCACGCGGGGCCACACACCATCCCCTTCCCATTCCTTTTATTCTTCTCAAAAGTAACCACTCTCTTGAATTGTGTGGTTACTGTTTCTTGCTTTTCAATGCTTCCACATATGCATGTGCCATAACTAATATACTGCTTTACTTTGTGTGCTTTTAAAGTTAATCTATGTAGAGTCATATCATATATATTATTGTAACTTGTTTTTAATGACTCAGCCTTATGGTTTTGAGATTCACTTGATAGCTCAATTGTAGTGTTAGTTTTCATTGCTGGATAATTGTCCATTATATAAATACACCATGATTTACCCATTCTAGTCTCAATACACTTCCAATATGCCGACATTTTTCCTACTCAAATTCCTTTCTTTATGGGTCATTTATTCCCATATGGCTCCTTTTTGTGAGGACTAGATAGATTGTTTTTTTTCCATTGACCTCATTCTAGATCTCACTAATTCTTTCTTTCATTTTACCAGTATCTTTCTGTGGAATCTCTTTGCTAGAAGGTGTTTCTTCCTGCTGTGGTTGGTGACAGAATGCTAATTTTTTTTTAAAATAACCTTTATTTGCAGAATAAAGGCCTTTAACTTCAAAAGTTAAAGACAATTTCTTTAAAAAGCAGTAATGAAACAATTAAAATGGCTTTCAATATTCCTAACTTAGCCTTGTCTATATAAATTTATTATGTATTAGAAAGCATAAAAGTATTCAATTTACATTACTGAAAAGTCAGAGAAAGACGTTGTATAAAGTGGATGTTTATAGGCAGGGGGGACAGATGGTATTTAGAGGGTAGAAAACTATTTTTTTCTCAGTAGAGTTTCTAGCTTTTTAACATCAAATCATCAGAATCAATTTCTCCTCAGGTTAATTATTGATAATTACAGCTGCAAAATGTGCAGTACCATACCATTTTAACCCATTTGGGCCTAGGGCTCTGTGTTTTGAATGGCACAAACAGAGGAATATAATAAAAATTTTTCTTTTCAAATTCTCCTTCCTTGAACTTTTCTAGGTAACATATATGAATTTCATGCAAAGAATTGCATCTTTTGGCATAAGCGAGTTAACTGTGGCTAACAGCAGTGTACAGTAATGCCTCCATTCATGAACGCTTCTGTTTGCAAACAGTCTGGTTCACAAAAGTGTTTGGCAAAAGCTGCTTATGTTTGGAAACTCCACACTGGGTGACAAATGACCACAGCCATCTATCCCACACAAACAAAAAGCAGTCATCTTCCCCCACATCATAAAACAAATTAAGGTCATGAACTAAGGTACACCTTTTTCTCACACTGCACACTTGTCTCAATTTTGGTAAGCCCACAAGGTAACCCTAGCTAGAATGAGTAAAATATGTCACTGAAAAACTTTTTGAAAAGAGGGAAGAACCCCCAAAACCAACCCCTTTAAATCCACAGAAAAATTATCTTATATGAACTCAGCCCCTGATGACAAAGAGGTTGGGGACTGCAGATACGAAGTACCCAAGGCCACACCTCCATAACCCACCCAGATGCACACAGGAGTGTGCTTTACTAACCTACTAGACATTTCTTAATCCAATTAAATTGGATTAAGTTCACTTAAATTGGATTAAATTCATTTCTTAATCCAATTAAGTTAAGGGTTAATGGCCACAATCTACCCTTTGTCAACTTCACACAAAAACATGTCCCCTTAAACTGTATTTAATTTCAAATAAAGACAATAGCAAGTTCATAATTCTATTTAACTTGATAGTTACAACAGGAAATGCTACACTCCTTCCCCCAAAGTCTCAACATTTCCAGCATTTTTCAAAAGTCCAAGTCCATGTCTCTTCTGAGACTCAAGGCAAACTCTTAGCTGGAAATCTCTTAAAAATTACAAACAAATCACATAATTCCAAGGTACATGACACATAGTAAACATTCTGAGTCCAAAAGGGATGAAATAGGGAAAAATTTGGTCTTGCTTTGGTCCAATATTTTCAATAGAGAAAATATTGGACCAAAGCAAGACCAAAACCTAGTGATGCAAATATTATATCCTATAGATCCGTATCCAGCATCCAAGGCACATAGTGGTGAAATGTGAGTTCCAGAGGGCTTTCATAACCCTGTCCTTATGGCCTTGCTGGTTGTAGTCCACAAGTTCTCTCTTGGGGTGAGGTCCACTCTGTCCTGCAGCTTTCCTTAGCTGATGTTCCACTTTCCTGTCATCTCTGATTTCCTGTGCTCTCCTAGCACCTTCAGCTTCATTCCCATAGCTCCACACATTGCCCTCTGAGTGGTCTGACCTCCCAGGCCTTCCTCTGGAATATGGGTAAAAGTCTTCCTGATCCAACAACCCTCACATTCTTCATGCCAGTAAAACCAGCATCATGTGGACAATGCCAAGGTCTGTTGTCAGGAGAAGCAGTAGTCAGGCCCGCATGGACCATGGCCGCAGTGGCCTCTGAATTCCTAGGTGATTGAGCACAGTGAAATGAACCCCAGGGAACCAATTCTCTAGGAGGTCTTTCTTCAGCAGGTATCTCAGATACTTTCTCCTCAATGCAAGGTAAACACTTTTGCATTCTGGATCCTGTGATGTGTGAGTCTTGGAGATTTCTAAGATGACCTCAATGCTTCTTCTTGTCCCTGTACAAAACATTTGATTTCTTTTTAATGGTACTAATTTGTTTAGCAGCCATTCTTTCTTTGACTCCAACTTTACAGGTGGGTCATTTTGGGCTCAAATTTAAATCTTTCAAATTTGTCTTTTTCACCTTTTGCCTCCCATTCTCACTACATATTTGCAAAAAAGCAGCCAGCAGTATTCATGCCACAGCCTGAATGTGCTGCTTTAAAGTTTCTTTACCAGATTCATTACTCTGTCACCCTTATTATCAGTCTCCTACAAAGTTTCAGGACATGGACAGAATATAGAAAATTGGTTGACAAAGTCCAACACACTAGTCACACTAGTCCAACTGCCAGTGGTGTCCTTGTTCCCAACTGCAGCCTCTTGAGCCTGGCCTTTACTGTTCACATTCCTATTAACAGTGTGGTGATTCCAGCCGGAATCACCCATCAAGCACTATTTACAACATTCTAGGGCTTCTCTAGCCTGCATCTCCAATGCTTTCCAAACTGCTCCTGCAAACCATTTCCAAAGGCATCTAAGCCACTTGGTCAGGTGCAGTTATAGCAACAGTCCACTTCTCTGGTATCAATTTTGAATTTAGCTTTTCTATCACTGAGACACAACACCCAACACCCACAATTTAAAGGAAGAAAGGCTTAATGCAGCTCACGGCTTCAGGAGACTCAATCTGTCATTGGCAGGCTCCACAGCAGAAAGGTCATGGGGGAAGGGGCAAATCTACTTACTTCATGGAGTGTGAGAGGCAGAGCAGGGGAACAGACGGGGGACCATTACACTATTCAGGGTCACATTCGATGACCCACACAGACACACCTAAGAAGTGTGTCTTTTTTTTTTTAAAGTTTCAAATATTTATTGTTGATTTATTAGTGCTGATCACAGAAAAGAGCTAAGACTCCTGATTAAGTATATTCCACTGTCCGACCAAAGGCATTTTTAAAGCTTGATACGGTGATATTATCTTGACCATGATAAAGAGGGTGTCATCTTATGACCTCTGAGAGGGTAAACGTGCTGCAGCTCATGTGCAGCTCCTTACAGTCCCAGCTTGGTCCTCCTCCAGTGTCTCCTCTTGGAGTTGTACCTGATTTTATTACCAGTTTTCATCCAAATCCATTGAGGAACGGGGCGATTCTGCTTTTGTTTCTTGGCCAGGAATGGTTTGATTCTGGAAGTCTTGTGAGACGACATGGTTAGGCTCGGAGGCAGGAACATGCACTCGATGACGGACTGAAGCAGAAAAAGCAAGAAGCGTGTTTTAATAACCTGTTAGGTGTTTCTTTTCTTTTCGTTTGATATTTTTGAGTCAGGGTCTCACCACCTAGCCCAGGCTGGCCTTGAACTTGCGGCAGTTCTCCTGCCTCAGCTTCCCAAGTGTTGGGATTACAGGCATGCAACACCTCACTCAGCCTAATCTGCTAGCTGCTTCTTCATCCAATGAAGTTGACATAATAGGATTAACAGAAACACAGTCCATTCCAAATATAAATTCTAAAATACCTTGAGGTAGGGGCTGGGGATTTAGCTCGGTGGCAAAAGCGCCTGCCTGGCATGCGGAAGGTCATGAGTTCGGTTCCCGGTACCGGAGAAAAAAAAAAAAAAAAAAAAAAAAAATACTTTGAGGTGAAATTTTTAGTTTGGCCAATTCAAGATTTGCTGGCCAAGTTTAAATTTACAAATTTATTTGCACAGAGTCATTAATGCATTAAAAACAGTCCTTCTAAAAAGTTTGTTTCCTTAAAAAAATTAAGCAAGGCAATATTTTATTAAAAAAAGATCATTTTTTCATTTAACATTCAGTTCTTGTCTATTTACTAAATTAAGTGAAATATGTAAGATATAATCATTTAACACATTTATGCCAAGTAATGTTCTAAGTGTCCTATATATGAACTAATTTTATTTTTTCTCAAATTCTAAGACAGGCCTTACATATCTTTCCATTCCATTTTACAAATGACAGAACTGACACACAGGTGAGTGACTTCTCCATGTTCACATGGCTAATTAGGAGTTGTTGTGGGTTAAATCGTCTTCCACCAAATATCACAGATCAATGTCTTAATTCCCTGTTTGAAAACAGGTTGTTGCCGATGTAATGAGTTAAATTAAGATGAGGTCGTACCATAGTTTGATCCCAACGGGATGACTGGTGTCCTGATACGGAGAAATTCAGACAGACTTGAGCCCGGGGAGGATGCCATGTGAAGATAAGTGCAGAAAGTGTCCTCCACCTACGGGACACCAAAGACCGGCTGAGAGCACCAGAAGTTTGGAGACAAAGAGAGTAAGTTCTCCCTCCTCAGAAGGAGACCCCCCCACCCCATCCCCCATCCTCTAGAACTGCCAGACACCTTTCTGTTAGTTAAGCCACTCTGGTTCTTGTTACTCTAGTCCCAGAAAAACTAGTGCGGGGATGGAGACAGGATTAAAGTAGCAGAGGTGCTCCAAAAATGAAAGCTGACTGCTCTGCAACAGCAAAACCAGAATCAATCGCAATGGAAGACTTTTTGCACCGAGGAGTTAGAAGGCAACTTTCTTTTTTTTTTTTTGGTTTTTCTCCGGTACCGGGAACCGAACTCACGACCTTGCACATGCCAGGCAGGCGCTTTTGCCGCTGAGCTAAATCCCCAGCCCCAGAAGGCAACTTTCATTATGCTAGCCGGCTGGGGAACCCAGAGGTTCAAATCCCCAGCCCAGAGCCAGGCTTGAGCTTAGTTTAAATAGGGTTTGCGAGTGAGAAATACAACGTTGATAGCAGGTTACACATGATAGTTACATGAAATACAAGAATCATGTCACAAATTGTCAGGCAGGTTTACTTAAAAGGAATTGTTTAACATTCTGGGAAGGAGGGGAGGGGCTTGTGAGCAGAGCAAGTAGAGTTCAATGGGTCCTTGACTGGGCCGGTCTGTCCCAGACAGGAAGTCCTTGAAGCAAGTTGAAAACAGAATATATTTTTCTAGCTGAGGAAAACAAGCTGGACACAGTCAAGCTGGCCCAGCGCATTAGCAAAGGGAAGTGGACAGTCAAGGCTGATTATGTGACAGGCAGCGTGAGCAGTCACAGGCTATGAATCGATTTCTAACTCTTGCTGTAATGTGCCTTCAAGTCTGCTATTCTATAAGTGCCCTTAGGATTCCAGTGTCCGCTAATCAAAAAGGGACAACCAAATCCTAAGTGCAACTTGGAAATCTAACACGGGCAAATCATTGATAGTCAATTTTCTTTTGTGTTTCCTAGTGCCCCCAAGCCCCCTTCCCCCTTAAATTAAAGGGACTCTATGAAAGCCAAGGTCTGGCCAAACCTTTTCACCCAGCCACCTGCTCAACCCTAAGCCTGTGCCCTCATTAGGGCTTCAGACCCCAAATTTTTGGAAGCAGGCCCACCGTTCTGAGATCGGGAGCATTCCGATTTACACTTTTTGGATAAAACGTGCCCTATGGCTAGCTGCAGCAGCCGCGGTCTTAGGCAGTCATTAAGCTAGTACCAGCAGGGAAAGACAAAGGCTGACGCCGGCCAGCCGGGGAGCCTGGGGAGCGAATGGCCAGTGGGCGCCTGGGGAGAGAGCTCCGGAGTGCAGCGAGCGCCCTGGCCACCGGCCCGGTCTGACACGCCTTGGGGAGCGCGGCGGGCGGCGGGGAGGGCAGGGGCCGGGCCGCAGACCGCC